GAAAGGCAACCGTGGGCCGCGTCCCCGCGGTGATGTGTGTGTGTCCCCCCCCATGGGTTTCGGGCACCCTCAGGGGAAGCGGTTTGGCTGCGGCGATGGGGAGCTTCGCGATGTGACAGGCCGGGCAGTCAGTCGCGCTGCTGCTGGTCGCCGCTTAATCCGCGTTACTGGGTGGGACGTGTTGCTGTGTCCGCTGAAGATCGTCCTCCCCCAGTCCGTAAAGGAGTCAAAATCTAATTAAATGCTTTAAGTTCGGTGCTTCTTCCGGGGGGGGGGGGGGGCCAAAATAACCCAAAATCTCGCGTGTTTCACGGATCCTAAATATTGTATTAAATTCGTCTTTCTTACGGCTTTGTCTTGAGCAGCTCCACCCTTTGTAGCCTCTTTGTCTATGGAGACATTGTTTTCTCACGCAGAGTAGTCTGTGGTGATGTCACCACCACGCTAAGCATCGTCAGGTGATTTTTCTTCATGTGAAACAGAGATGTTTTTAAAACATGTCACTAGGCAGAAAAGGAGAGTTGGTAGAGACCCTGCATGGTAGTCCTCAGTTGATGCATTGCTCTTTTACCCTTAGGCAATGATGTCTTTCCAAGTCCAGTTCTTATGCAAATAGGTGCAATTAGTTGGGTTGTGAGTCTTCAGACATTTGGCTTGAAAGTGTCAGAGGGATGGTGAAAACTCGAATTTTCAATACCAAAAATATTGTACCATACTTGGAATAAATGAAACTATTTAAGGAATTCATACACACAACTTAGTGGTCTAACAACTTCATATCGATTCAAGCTTCTATTTTTTTATGCTATCAGGACACATGGATTTTGATTCCTGTAGTACAGTGACATTTAATTAGAGAGCAGATACTTAACTCTTTAATTTCCTGTACAAATTAGATGAATCAGCCTTCCAGGATGATTTGCTTATAAATAAGTGACTGGAAAACTGATAATATCCTGTTAATAAAGTATTGCAAGTGTTAATTTTTCTTTAATTAAGATTTTAAACAGTACTTAATGGCTTAGCCAGTAAGGCTTTAATTACTAGCTAAATATAGTTAAATGTTAACTTATTTATTGTCAAATACTAAGCCATAGTAGCACTACAGATTTTAATTCTAGTTGAGCTAATACATACTTCATTTTCAAGTGCATAAACAGCCTTTCTGATAATTGGCTGATATTTGTAGTGCATGAAGTTTGAGGGTTTGTTTCTGTACAGAGAAATGCAGCTAGTGGTCTTTTAGATAAAATTATTTATATAAGCATATAATCTTAAATCAGATTTAGTGTGCATAACTAACCTACATCCCATCCTTTAAAGTGCCCAGAAAAATTAGTTGGGATTTTTGTTTGATTGGTTGGCTTTTTTTTCTCCCCCAATGGCTTTAATGTGTTAATTTTCTTTCCACATTTAAAACCACAGCTAATCCACACTTAAAGCCTACATGATAGTTCTTAAAGGAAATGTCTGCACTGATCTCTAAGGATATGTCATTCTAAACACCATTTGTGGCTCTGAAAGAGAAACAAGCTGAGGGTGTGAGGTAGTAGGGGAACGAGCTGTAGCAGGGCTTGGGCTAGTGGCAAAGCGTGCCACTGGCAGGGCAACTGCTCCTCTTGTATCCGTGAGGACTCTGCCGCCCGGGTTGCTACTCTGCGGTGCTGCCCGCCCTGCCCTGTCCTGTCCTGCAGCGCTGCTCTGCCTGGCTGGCTTCAGCACCTGGCCTCCTGCCTTTATTCCTTCTGGAATTTTTGAGTGGTGGTACTGCTGGTTGTAGCTCTGCACTATGGTCCGCTGAGCAGGCAGTGTTTCAGTTCAGCTTTTTTAAGGGCAAAAAGAAGCCTGACAGAGATGGGGGAGGGAGGGGACAAGGCTTTAAGTGCGCTGTCATCTGGCAAAAAGTCTTCTGATCTCGACAGCCCAGATGGGTCAGGCACTGCTGCTTTCCCTCTGCTGGGTCTTGCCTCTGTCACACTGTTCTGTGAAATATCTCACCTGCTTTCTTGCTCACTTTGAACAGATCTGCCTTGATAGAGAATATTAATCTGTTACTTGATTGAGTCAGTGCCTTTAAGCATATGAGTAAGAGATGATGTAGCTAAAACCTGACTAGGCTCAGTGGTTTTGTGAATATTTAACTCAGTATATAATAATTTAGTCATTATCCCATTAAGAAGATTATTTCTGATATTAACAACTTGTTCTGTCTGCATTGGGGGTAGTAACACTTGACTTTGAGTGTTTTGTGGGATTTTTCTCTCTCTTCCTCTCTCCTGCAATATTCGGCTTGTTGTATGTGTTCCTTCTGCAGTTTCCACTGCCTTAGAATGCAGTGACTGGGTTAGCAGGGGTGAATTAACTTGTCTGCCCAGCTGCCTGCTCCCAGAGTAGGTGTGTGGATCATCTTTTCTTATTTTGCCTCAGTGAACACCACTGAGCTGCTGCTTTTTCCTCTAAAACGTGCAGGGATGTGAGTCAGTTGGTAGGTCCAAAAGGTACTGGGCAGTGATAGGCTCATGCTGTTGTGACCTGGTGACTTGTCCAGGCTTCCTGAAGACAGTGGACTTGAAACGAATTGCAGAGTAACTCTCTTGTCTGCATCTCTGACTAATCTGGGCTTCATCCTGGGGAGTTAATGTTAAGCTGTGACCTGTGTGGTAGTATCTTACTGTTTGTACTGTAGGGGTTTTTTTTTGTAGGAGTTGTGCTCTGGGAAGAAAGTGGTGCAAACTGTCCTTGTCTTCTCTGCTGATACACTCAATTCCGTGGCCCAGATGTTCTGTCCTTGGTTACTTCTGAAGTCTGTTACTTGCCGGAAGTGTTTTTGTTGATAGTACAATAATACTATTTTGCTTGAATGATGTATATTTTATTTTGTCTTACTTGGGACATGGACTGTAATGTGATTCCTTGTAGAAGTGGCCAACTTGTATAAATAGTATCAATTACCAATAGGTCTCTTGTTCAGCGACATGATCTCCTTGGTGTGCAAGATCACAGCTTGTAAGGATGAGCTGTTTGGGGGCAAAATGTTTTAAAAGCTGCTGTTGGAGCTCAGGCACTTAACACTTATTGCCTTGTTGGAGGCAGGTTGCTTCCTCGGGAGGGGAAGACAGTCACTCACCTCTATTTCAGCCTCTGCAAGCCTCCTCCTCTCTAGAAACAAGCATTCCTCTGTGTCCCCTTTGGTGCACTTGGGAGGAAGCTGTGCAGATTACCTGGGAATTTAACAAACAATTCAACACTGGGATTCTTTGAAGAAGTGACTTATACCAGATGGCCTTTGTACCAAATTTTCTGCAGCAGATGAGCCTAGTTTTATATTCGGTTTTGCCAAATTCAAACTTTTATTCAACAGCATCTTTAAAAATAATTAATGCAGACAGAATTGAACAGAGAATAGAAACATTATTCACTAGAAAGGTTATTTGTGTGTTGAGGAAATGCTCTAATACATTAATACTATAAAATCCTGACTCATCCTAGGCCAGTATTTGCTATACATTTCCTGCTTACTAAGCAGAGATGCCCCTAATGTAGTTGCTTGCAGTCATAGAAGAGCCTTAAAGGATCATCTGGTCCAGCCTTGTGTGGAAAAGGGCGCCCAGATGAGGTGATCTAGCACCTTGTCCAATCATGTCTTGGAATACCTCTGGTGATGAGGGCTTTACCACGTTCTTGGGGGGATTGTTGCAGCAACTGCTTGTTCTCACTTTTGATGTAACAAAGACATTTTTTTAGATGAAACCTTTCCTGGAATCAACACCTTCATGCCACCATACTGAGTTGAGAAGGGCGTAAAAAAAGGGCAATGTAGTATCTTCCACATTCTGAAATAGTTATAATGAGAATCTACCTAATTTCACTTATTTAGCAAGACAGATTAAATAGTGAGGTTTGAGAACTTAAAAATCATTCTGTAGCATAGTGGAGCGAAAATTCTTGTCTCCTACATTCTCAGAAAGAAGTACAAAAGGAATGTAAGGAAGTTATTTAAAAGACCAAGCTTGCTGGTCTAGCTGAATCTGTAAAAACAGATAATCTGAGCCTTTTCTTGAGGGCTTCTCAAGAGGCTGCTGAGAGTTTTGTGGCAGTCTGCCCTTCCCTGTGATCCCTGGGGCCTTCCTGGTAGTGGCAGACTGCTGGCATTTTTGTTTGTCATGGGACTAAATTTCTGAGAACTTTCTGACACATGCCAGTTATGCTGGCTTATTGACATGCGTTGGTCATATGGCCAAGTCATGTTCTTGTGTGACTTTGTGGTGATTAACACCTTTATTTGTAAATTAAAGCAACAACAAAAATATTGTACCTTTCCTCCTTTGGCTTATGCTCACTTGTAGAACCTTATCCTTCTTTTGCTTCCTGAACTGTCACTCAGCAAGTGGCAGAAAGTTGCTGCAGGGAGAAGTACATTTCCCACCAGAGCCTTTTACATGGCTTACGTTAATTTGGCCAGCTAGTAGAGTTATATAAGTAACTGCTAAATGTGTAGTAATCCACAGGCTGAGCTTTAGGCTCTTTCACCTATTGTTTGTGCTGGGGCACAGATCTGTCAAAGTGCCTAGGTGAGGGCTGTGCTCAGATTTTGTCTTCTGTGGTGTATTTGTTTATCTCTGCAGTTGTGGAAGGGAGGATGTCGTTGTTAACTGAGTGCAATCCTTGCATCTTATTTAGATGAAATAAAATTCAAGAGAACAGATGAGCTTGAATCTGGTGTCTGTTTCCTCTGAATGGATAAATGTGTGCTTTTGACATGTCCCTGATTTCACTGCAGGGCAGCACGTGTGGAGCTGCTGCCGACCGCGTCGGGGGCTCTGGGACCCGCCGCAGCGCCTCGCGATAGGACGCACGGGCTGAGT